GCGCGGGGTAGTCTGAAACACGCGCGGGCGTTAGTCTCGTTATCCCATCCTTCGGTGACGCCCCTTGAGTGCGGAAAAACGCGCACTGCCCGACGCTCTACTGGCGCCGGCGTATTCGCTTTCAGCGTGGATTCAGGGCTCCTTCATTGATTTGGTCCATCCGTCGCGGACGGCGCACGAGTTGGCGGGGTCTCTGGATTTCCGGAGTGGCGTATTCGTTTCAAGTTGGCCAAGTTGACCTATGATCTCCAGGACAAACACCTGGAGACCGTGGAAGCTGCATGTCGAGAGACTCATGTTTCATATCGCATCTTTGCGATTTTGGTAAAATTTGACCCATGTCAGCAGTCTCTCGGACATCCAGACTTCGAGCTGCACAAGCCTGATATCCACATCTTGATGGCACACTGGAATCGGGAGGTTTACCAGGCTCTGATTCACGTTCCGGATCCTGTCAATGGTCGTGCCGCTCGCGATGAAGATGGTGAGGTCATCAAGGCACCTTGGACTGTGATGTTCGAGGAGCGTATCATCGTGTTTTACTTCCACGAAGTGCGCGACTTAAACTCAGAGACATTTGACGGAATCAAAGATTACGTGGACTTCATGCGCGTAAATGCCGAGACCTAGTGGGCGATATTGCGCTGGATAACTATCCCGTTCTTCTCGAGGGATAACACTGAAGCTGATGCTTCTCGTGACTTATATGATGAACTTCGTCGAGACGTCAAGCGGCTTCGTGTGCAATACGAGGACTTGCTTAAGCGACTGTTCGTGATTGCTTGTTTTCCAAGGACATTGCTTTACGAATCTGGTTGATGGACATTGCCTGTATGTGCTTGTCACTGGATCCTTAAAGACCCTGAGCGTGCGCCTCTTATCCGTCGCGGAGTCCTCGACTACGCTGCTCAGCTCGACGATTTGGACGCGGAGGACCCTGCCCGCACTCAGTGGGCTGCTGCACATTGCGACAAAGACATTCTGGCCACAGTCCCTGCGTCTATTTATTCGAAGCTCATGAAACCTGAACATCGAGCCCGCAACGTGATTCCCTTGTCTGCAGAGTCTCAGGCGTGAACACCTTTCGTCAATTGTTGTTCTCCACATACTCTGGATGTAGGCGTTATTCTTCTCTCATTAGGTCTCGTGGCGTAAGTTCATTAACACCTATAATTTTTCGCCCTCACGGTTGTGTTTCAAATTCTTTGCCACATACGGGTGATCAACGCACTGGCAATCTTCTTCTTCACACGTGCTGTCGTTGGCTGTTTTCTAGGATCATCACCGGGTTCAGCTATAGTCTCCATGGACTCAATAGACCCAGAGGGATTTTCTCGAGTTCACTCTCCTAGCTTCATCACCAGGTAATACAAATCGGTTCTCACAATCAATATCGTCATGTTCAAACATACGTGTCCATTGGCCAGGCCATTCTGAGAACTAGTTCCCAGGGTGATCGTCTCCGGCTTGCATAGCCTGAAAACGTGTTGTTGCCTTGGCGCCTTGGTTGAATTCGTATAACAATGCCCCAAAATTAAGTTGAGCTAGAGGTATCCATTCTGGATCCGTGTATCCTTTCCATTTAATGAGATATCCCCGAGAACGTTTGGAGGTCCTTGTACGCTTAGTCCACCAGAGATCCAGGATCTCTTCGACTTCATATTCATCCTGCGCGGGGTCGTGTTCCCAGCTATCCTCGGGTAACAGGGCGGCATCAAGCTAGTCGTCTTCTGAGACCTGTATCTCTGAGATCGGTCGCTTAAAGAACAAGGCTCTGGGTTTGAGGTAATGTGGACCCACGGCTTTACACGGTAGCCCGTACCCGGGATATTGAGTTTAACTCTGAAGTCATCGTGTATCTCTTCGATTTGGAAAGGTCCGCGCCATAGGTGAACTAGTTCGCGGCTCAATCCTGTACGGACTTTGGGGATATACAACCAGGCAAAGTCGAAACCTGCCTTTACACAGTCCGAGCGTTCCTTCCACTTGCGTGTATGGGCAGCAGATCTCACGCGTTTCGATTTCTTTTGCTAGTCTTCATCGCATGCAAGTGCATAGCTATAATCCCGTTGCATCGTACGACGCCTTTCCAAGTCTGTTCGTTCTTGGAATGACCCATGGACCATATGAAACGGAGTGTCCAATCTTGCGGCGTCGAACGAGATTTTAAGGGCAAACATGAGACGTTCTGCATGTTCGTCCCAGTCGCTCTGAACAACTTCGGCGACATACGCTCTGACGCTTCGCATCACGGTTTGGCCAGAGCGTCCTAGTTGTCCATTGTCTTGAGGCCAGTATCCTAACGTCGCACGTTGCTTGCTTTTCAGAAGGTCTCTGAATCTTGCGAATACCTTGCTCATGAAACGGGGATCCTGGTCATGTCTGATCATGGAACTTGCCCCAAATCTTCGGAATACACATTCCTCGTATGCTTCAGCGGCATCTTGTGGTTCAGTGTTCCGCATGGGTTTACACATGACATATCCTGATAATTGATCCTGGAACAGCAACAAATATGTATTTCCACGATCGGACCCAGGTAGCTCTGTGACAAAATCCATAGAGTCCACTTCAAACGGATACCTTGGTTTGATATTCCCAAGCGACGGACCGGCAACCGGTGATCGCCCCTTGGCTGACGCACAATCTACACATTCTCTCGCAATCTTCTGAACGTCGGCATACATCCCGATCCAGTAGAGCTCTGAGCGTAAGCGCTCAAATGTCCGGTTGATTCCTTGATGACCGCCTTGGAAATCATCATGTGAGTAGTGTAACGTGTCCGCACGAAAGTACTCTTGGACCACGAGCCTGCGTTCCGATTGTTTATTGTGTGGTCTTTCAGGAGTAGGTGCATTGAGTCTGTAAAGGACGTCTCGCAAATCCAACACGAACTGATCGGAAATCTTAGCAATCTTCTTCACTTGTTTTTTTAAAGCTCTGACACATCTCCCTTCAGAACGTTCTTCATCTGCTGAATCCACGGGTCCTCGTCTTGGGGAACCTTTATTCTTCTTCAACACTCATAGTGCTATCCGGATTGGTCTACTGAACTTCGGACCCTAAATCCGCTCCTGCGCGGGCTCTCGTCATCACCATCAATACCTCACCAGCGGAAGATAAGGACTCAGGTATTCCGACTTCGGAGTTTCTTACTCCAGGTTCAACTTGGTCCTTACGAACTTCATCGGCCGCAGAAATATCTGGGATTTCCAAAGGCTTCATGATCGTTCAGGGATTCTGGACACGAGGCGTAGGTGTACTATCTCGTCTGGGACATTGAGCTCCCAGGACCCCACAAGCACGAGAGTCTTAGAAGTCAAGTAACCGGCCGCTTGGTTGAATTCACATTTGACATGAATCAACTTCATAGACACAACATTCTTCCTGAGACCCTCATATTCAGCTAAGCGTCGTTGCAAATTAGACTGGTTACAATTAATCAGTCCCTGAGCTTGTTGAACGATGATCCTGGAACCCCCGACTACCACGAGTTCTTTGGCATCAAACATCAAAGCGAGCTTTAAACCTCGGATTAGACCATGATACTCTGCATCGTTGACCGTCACACCTTCTAAGATGTGTTCTTCAGTCTTCTCAACCTGCCATCCTGGCAACTTCCACAGGATACCTCCACAACTTCGTTGGCGAGTAGAAACCTTTGCAGCACCGTCAAAGCTCAGAACGTAGCCTTGATAATCTGCATCCAGCATTTCCAGACTCACTGGAGGTATCACGTTTAGACGTCCCTTGGCGGGAATCAAAGGTTCTGCAACTTCATCTAAATGTTCTCTTGGAGTGATTCCAGATCCGAGGATAGCTGCAAGGCCGTACTCATCTTTCTGGATTCGATGGATTTCCAGAGACCACTTCGACAATTCTAATCTCCATTTTAGATGTCGCCCATCCGCAGAGCAGGACTCTAACAACCACTTCAATACTGAATACCGGGTATATACGACCACCGGGAATTCTGTGCCATAGATCAGAGGTTTGAACACTTCCAGGGTCGGCAAGATTGCGAGCACCTCCTTGTCGACAATGTGGTAGCGTAGCTCCGACTCCTTCAGTACTCTACCAGTGAAATGCACTGGGTGTATGAGACCATTGGCTTCCTGTCCCAAGACTACGCAAGCGGCCCAGGGATTAGCAAGGGGAATAATCACAAACAGCTTGGTCCTGTGATGCCGTAACAGCGGGGTTGATACAATCTTCTGTTTCAGAATCTCGAAGGATTCTTTCGCAGGTTCTAGATTCCGTCCAGCACGTACACGTTCTTCATCGAGTTCGTAGAACACGACAGCAACTATTGATAAGTCTTCAATGAACTTGTTGTATTAATTCAGACCTTCAAGGAAGGACTGTACTCCTTTATACGTTGCTGGGAAAGATAAGTCTTCTATACCCTTGAAAACTTTGGCAATGCTCTGATTCCTTCCGCGCTCACCTCATGAGAAAGAACGGGATAGTCAATTTTCCAATTCACGTTTTGGTAAACTTACAAGGATATTCCAATTTCGCGGCCTGTATAACAACGCATCCAGGTCTTCACATAGTTGGTCTCAGGTCAACGCCCCATGCGCGATATCGTCAATATATGAGCTTCTCCCCAAGACCTGACCCATTTGTGACGGAGCCGGGATATTGCGTCCGAATACAGTCAATCCTAACGATGGAACCCTTAAGTCCTCCGATGAGTATCTTAGTTCCTCTATTTTTTATTTTGGGTCCAGAGATTCCTGAGGCTTAAGATTCAAAATCTTTAGGACCTCTGGGTCAACCTTCGCTTCCTCTTCAGGGGGCAAGCGGCGAATACACAAAGACAGTTGTTATTGACGTTGTGATAGATTAAAGGCGCATTCTTCGATCCAAAAGGCACTCTGAGTCACTGAAAACGGTCGAACGGGCAAACGATCGCAGAGATTAGCTTCGCACGTTCAGTCATACGCACCGCCCAGAATCCACTCACCATGTCGAGACTCATAAGCCACATCGCGGATTCAAATTTCCACCAGCAGATCATCAATCAGAGATAGAGGGTAGCGGGACAGCTTGATGAGCAAATTCAAAAGTCGGTAGTCGATGCAGATTCTGATATCTACGCCGTTCTTCTTCAGCACGATCACAATGTGCGATGGCCCTTCGTCCTCTGAATGCCTAATTAGTTCCGCTTCCAATAATGTCTTCAAGAGTTCAAACACCTCCACCAAGAACGGTGCAACAATCTGTCTTACGCGCAAAACCACTGGTTTCGCTTCACCGACATCGATGTCACACACTACGGCCCTACCTGGAGTCGGAGCTGCGTCGCCATCTCCCAGAAAGATGCTGCTATGGCGTTTCAAGATCCTTATCGTCTTGGCTTCCATCTCTGGATTTGTGACCCCAGTGACCCCAACATTTGCTTCGTCGATGTTACATTCTGGGGTCAGTTTCTCAATATCAGGGAGTATGATAAGTTGGTCTCGTAGCTGCGCCATCAAATCACTTCCTTCTCGAAGATATACGGCAGGTTCCACGTCAAGTTCTTCGGCCGTTCCGGCTCAAGAATCTTGAGCCGGAACACTATCTTCGCTGTTAGTTGCATCCTCCGGACCTGAGACCTTAGATTCTGGACCCGGGTCTGAACACATTCCCCCCACGTCTTCAGGACGGATCTCAAGTCCCTCGGAGTCTCTCACGACTGTCTTCATAACAACCGCTGCATTTCCGGTGACCTTGAGTGTCATATCCAGAGGTTTCAACCTTTCCCGCAATCTCACCATCCGCACTTCAGCTTCTTGAGGCTGTTGACGCATTAAGTTTGATAGGCCACTGTTATCTCTGGGTCCGAGTGCACGGCCTCCCTTTCCCTGAGAATCTGCTCTAACCGTTCAGCACGCATCTTCGCCTGACGTGAAGCCGTACACTCATGAATTTACTGTTGCAACTCTTCATATCGCGCCTTTCCAGGACGAACGAATCCAGGTTGCCTTGGGAACTGTCCATACTCTACGATACGAGCACAGCGGTCATATTATCAATTCAAACGTTTTGGTCTGAAACATTGAACACCTTGACCGCAGTTGCCCAGGATCTAGCAGAATACAAGATTTTAGTCACCCAGTTCTTGCCTTTTCCAGCCCACACTAGCTCACGCTGAGGGTTGGACTAGCCATACTGATTCGTACAATAGCGTCCTGGCCGGGACGCAGGTGTATTTGTTCTTCTGGGAACACAGGGAGATCCAGACTCCGAGATCTTGGGTAATTATCATACATAACTACGGTCTCGTCGTCTGGCAGTTTGATCAGACCTTCTCGTATACAGAGCCTAACATCTGCCGAATGCATGAAATCCATTCCTAGCAAGACGTCGATGCCTTCTCCAATATTTATAACCCAGATGTTCCGGACGTACACCATACTCCATCCAAGCGTTATTTTCACCCAAACATGAGTAATATAAGTAGCCATTCCTCCTAAATCAGAAACTTTGATTTGGTGGTGTGTCCGGAGCTGGAGCTTGAGTCTACGCGCTAGATCAAGACTCATGATACTCACAGACGCACCAGTGTCCAATAAAATTCTGGTTCTGAAGTCGTTCACAGCTCCATGTACCGTCGCCAATCCATCCATGTCTCCATATTCGTGATCTTCCCACCACCCGTACCTCTGACCTGGTTTTAACGGCACTTCCAAGGGATCTTGAGATTAGGACTCAGAGAGCTCTGGGAACGATCGTCTGAACGCTGGTATTCAGGGTACAATTGTTTAGGATAGATGATCTCATCCTAACCTAGGTTCATGCATTGTTGATTATCTTGTAGTTGCGTCCTTTGTTCTGGTCCTATACAGACTAACACACACATTTCAGGGGGGTTCTTAGGCGCGTCGCGTACCGGATCCCCATCCGGCGGGCTTATTGGTTTAACTGCTGCACCCCTGAAGCGTGATCCTTGGTCTGAAGGAGACTTCGAAATTGAGTCGGTAATTAACTTGCATTTCCTTGTTTCGCCAGTGTCATCACTGACTGAAAAGCTTTCCACTCTTCACACGATATTTCACCATAAAAACCTCCACATTCGGCACAAGGGGGTTCTGGTACAGACTCTGGCCGGGTGTCCTTTCGCTTGACATCGTTCACATATCACTTCTGTCCAACGGTTGGCCTCAGGATGTCCCCATTTCTTACATTTCTCACTGAAGGCATCCCAGTTCTCTGGTCGTGTTACCCCTTGACCCGCGTACCGACTAGGTAACTTCCAGTGTTGGATCTCTGCGACCCGAAATATTTCCCCGTTATTTTCACTGTTAGAAAACTCATGTGTTCGTAAATTACTTGGGTAAGTTACTGGCAAGGCAATTTTACAAATTTCTGAAACGTGACACCCCTCCTCTCCCTTTCTCCTATCCTAGAGCGCTCTGAGCCTCTCATTTTGAATTTAGTCTTGCCAAGCTCACACCCAGAAGAAGCAGTGGTAAATGCTTCAGAGCGAACGCTCTGTTTGATACGACATGCTTACTGACGGT